AACGCAACTGCTCAAAACCGAAACTGGAACCCGCGCGCGGAGGTCGGTGAAGTGGGGAGAGAGTGAGTGGCGGAAGTCACGTGGCTACACCCACCGTGCTTTTTTTTTTTTTTTTTGAGCAGCAGATTACATGCGTGGCAGGAAGCGTTGCCGTGCGATTCCTTTACAGTTATGTCTGTTCCGCTCGCTGTTCTGTACTTAAAAATTAGTTGTTTTATACATTGAGGAGTTGGAGATGAGTAGTGAGTACCCGTGGTGAATTTCCGTGATCGGCTCCGAAAAGAATACCCCCAAGATGTTGCGTGAAGAGCTGGTTCACATGTCCTGCGTCCGAAAAAAAGTGGCATTGTGCGACAGAGTTTGCGCAAGTTTCTGAAAGATCAACGGGGCCGAGACCAATGGCTGGCTGTAATTCCTGTACAACATTTGCGGGCACCTCGGAAAGCGGACGCTACTGGATTTGTATGCTCCTTGTATTTTGTGGGAAGTGGTTACATTAAGTTCGCAGGTGTCAAAAAGGAAATCCCGTAGCATTGAGTACCGCGACGTTTCGTCCACAACATTTGTTGTTGTTGTTGTTGTTGTTGTTTTAGTGATAATTGTAAAAAAAAGAAATGTAAATATCGCACAATTTTTGAAGAAGAAAAAAAACGGGACGCTTTCACATGGGATTGAACCCGGTTCCGCCGCGTGTTTTCTTAGTAATAATGCAGCCGGTGAACTGTAAGTTGGAAAGTTTGCTGCCGGGATTTTCCCCCAGCAAAAGCACACCCGGGTCGAAGTCCGGAAGCACCACGCCATGGCCCTATTCGCACCTAGTAGTGAAATCGTACGCGTGCATATCCAACTCGAAGTACACACTCCATGCTTGACGTTTGCGCGAGCGATGTCTTCAGCCACGAAAAGGGGGCGACGGCTCGGCGACGTCTTCGTGCAAACCGGCTTGGTGGTCGGGCGTGTCGTACGGGATGAATAACAATTCTTTTGATGGGTCGTAAATTTCTCTTTCGAAAGCAGGCAGAATTCGCCGGTACCGCGAACGTGACTTCTGAAGTAGAGGTCCCACGCCCGTCGTCCGCTGCCATCGCCATCCCCGCGAGTCCCACGATACACGAAACGACGCGCAGTGAACGCACATAATGCTTCCGGTTCTCTGTGCAACTTTTTCTCAATCAACGTATTTGCAGCTTTTTAGAAGTATCAAAGAGTGGGTTTCATATTTTTTTCTTTCTATTTTTAATACTGAGTGTATTCCTTCAATGACCAACGACTTTGATTAAATTTTGTGGTTGTGTCTAAACCTTAGAAAGCGGCCCGTGACCACGGAAAAGAGAATGAGCGAGAGTCGAACCGGCCAGTTCTCGATCGGCGGTTTTCGGGCAGAAGGAAACCGAATTTCGGGCCGCAAATTGTGTTCTGGGTAGCTGGGCTCTCATATGTCATGTACAACTAAAATCCTTGGCGAGCATAAATACCCTGTCACTGTCAGTGTCCCTTTAATAGCAAGTAGCGAAGCAGACCCTTCCGGAACTGTGCTCCAGTCCTCTCTAAAGGCAACTGATAAGGAAAACTGACAAGGAAAAGCATTGCTAAGTGCTTCTACAAACAGCAAAGCGTGGGCAGAAGGAGAAAGAGACCGGGGTTCGTTTGGCTCCTGATTGATGGTGTAAGAAGTCAACGCACTTTTGTCAGAAAGGACATCGCGGAGAAACTTCACCTGAAGGTTCTTGGAGAGGAAGACTTGACCATCTTTACCTTTGGAGAAGGCGCAGCAACAGCTGCAAGAAAATGGCGAAGAGAAGAGCTATGGCTGCGCAATCAATACAGTAGAAAAGACGTACGCATTGAAGCTTTAGAGGTCCCACAGATTTGTGCCGACATCATCGCCGCACCATCAGAGGTAGCGCTGAGCATACCTGAAGATATGCCCATTGCGGATACCGCTTTCAGCAACAACGAATGTGAGAAGGCATCAGCCTTCTAATCGGAGCTGACTATTACTGGTAAGTAATAAGTGGAAGTGTAAAGCGTTTGGAAAAAGGGCTGATGGCCGTCGACACTATCTTTGGTTGGACTCTACAAGGTCCCACGTCCTCAACTTTGTCTACTGCTATATACCGATCCAATGCAGGAGTATTGAAAGTGACTGCAACTGACATAACTGACATATCTGAACAGCTGCGGTCATTCTAGGAACTATAACACGTTGTGATAACTGCAGAAGAGTCATCGACCAAAGCAAATCTTCTGTTGGAGGAGTTTCAGAGCAAAGTAAAATATAAAGATGGACGGTATGAAGTTTTCCTGCCATGGAATGATCAAGTTCAAGAGCTGAACGACAAGAAGGAGAATGCAGAAAGAAGACTCAGGTCGTTAACTACAAGCCTCATGGGAAACAGAGCGTTTATGGGCGACTACCACACCACAATTCGGGAATACCTTGTAATTGGCTTCGCAGAAAAGGTCGTAAACACACAGGAAGCCGGAAGTCCAGTATATAACATGACACATCAAGCGGTTGTGCGACAGGACCGACAAACAACAAAGTTACGGGTTGTATTTGACGCGTCTTCAAGCACCACAGGGGAACTTTCTCTGAACGATATCTTGTCCAGCGGAACAAACTTAAACGCTGACTTGATCGATCTACTCATCGCGTTTCGTACGCACAACATCACAGTAACAGCTGACTTCGAGAAGGCATTTTTGCAAGTCACCTTGGCGGAGCAAAAGAGAAACGCGTTACGTTTCTTGTGGTATGACAGTACACCCAAACAAGGACATCAAATACCAAGAGTGGCGACGTGGAGGATGACTAGAGTTCCCTTTGGAGCAACATCAAGTCCGTTTCTCCTGGCAGCCACGGTGAGACACCATTCAGACTTAATGGAAAAAGAATTTCCTTAAACCACGAAGATTCTAAAGAACCACCTGTATGTTGCTGACCTGATAACGGGTTTGGAAAATTTAAAAGAAGCAGAAATCCTATGCAGAGAAGCAAAGGAGATAATAAAAAGGGCAGGCATGAATCTTCGGAAGCGGAAGTCTAATAATCCAAGATTATTAGAGGAATTGAGGAAAGAAAGTTCTGGCCCAGAGGAACTAACTAAACTGGTTGGTCCAACGAAAGTTTTAGGTGTTGGTTGGGAAGCACGAACAGACATGATCAAGTTCGATCTCACTTCTCTCATCAACTTTTTGTGCTCAAGAGAGGACAGCAAACGCTTTGTATAGCAAGCATCATCTCGCATTTTCGATGCAATTGCACTACTGGCTCCTACAATAATCAGTGTAAAAATTTTGTTTCAGCAGCTATGGGAGCGAGGAGTTGATTGCGATGAGACACTACCTTCTGACCTTTACGAAGAGTGGGACGAATGGTGTAAAAATCTCACTGCATTGAGAAACATCACGGTCCCAAGACTCATTGCTCTCGACTTCTGCAAAGACGAAACAGAAAAGGCGCTACATGTCTTCTGCAACGCAAGTACAAGAGTATACGGAGCTGTGCATACCTGACATCGAAAGATCAAATGGAAGGAGGGCTGCTCTAATAATGGTGAAATCGAGAGTGGCACCCCTCAGGCGGTTGACTTTTCCGCGACTAGAAGTAACGGAGGCATTATTAGGCGCTCGACTGACGCAGTTCCTCACGAGTAAGTTGAAACTGGAAGGACTTCCAATATATTTGTGGACGGACTCTACGGTTGTCCTTTATTGGATTCGTGGTTCAACAACCCGGTGGAAACTATTCGTAGCGAATCGTGTCTCGGAAATCCAAGCTCTGATGGAACAAAGGGACTGGAGGCATTGCCCTGGTACAGAAGACTTAGCAGACCTACTAACACGGGGACTTGTGCCAAAGTCTTTACTCAAGAGTAAGCCATGGTCGAATGGACCCATCTGGTTACATCGCTCCGAAACATCATGGCCGAGTTCAAAACAGGGTAAACCAGAATGCAATGAATACCTCACGGAAGAAAAGAAAAAGACAGTTATACAACTCACAGTACCGCAAGATAATCAGCTGGTGAGCTTGGAGGACTACAGTTCATGTATTAAGTTGATTTGAGTGGCAGCGTGAACAAAAAAACGTTTCACAAACAACGTAAAACAACAACACCAACGAAGTGGCCTCCTAACGAGCAAGGAAATTATAGAAGCAGAAAAATTCTGGATAAAATCAACACAGAATGAGGCCTTCTCAATGGAAATCAAACTGTTGCGAGATCAACAAGTCCACAAGACTTCAAAAATCGAAATGCTTAACCCAATTATTGACTGTGATTGTATCGTAAAAGTTGGTGGCCGATTACAATTTAGTGACAACGAAGAGGAAGTGAAACATCCGGTTATTATACCTGCACACCACCGATTCACTTCCCTTCTCATCGCTTATGAACATCGTTGGCTACTGCACGCCGAAGTTCAAGACACGTTGACGCAAATACGTGAAACTTATTGGCTTCTAAAGGGAAGACAAGCCGTAAGGAAGGTCCTGCGTCGCTTTATAACTCGCCAAAAGCAAACTTATACACAAGCATCCGAGCCTGTAGCTCCACGACCAGCGGACCGAGTTTTAAGGTGCGAACCGTTTGAAAAAACAGGAAACAGAGGTGGATTTCGTTGGGCCAATAATGTGTCGATGTGGCTGCGGAAGCTGCAAGGTTTACATCGTCCTGTTTACCTGTGCCGTGACACGTGCTGTGCACCTCGAACTCGTGAACGACCTAACGACAACAGCCTTTTTATTGGCATTCACACGCTTCGTGGCACGCAGAGGCATCCCGAAAACGATTTATTCCGACAATGCCTCAACGTTCAAAAGAGCAGCCCAAGACATCCAGAGATTTTTTGAATCGATAGAGGGGAAGAAGCGCAAACGTACTTTGCAGACCACAGAATGAGATGGAAAACGATCGTAGCGAGAGCTGCCTGGTGGAGCGGGTTTTGGAAGAGACTAGTGAGGTCAGTGAAGGTTTCGCCGCGTAAAATTCTAGGCCGCACTAGTCTGAATTTTAAAGAACTGATAACTGGCCTCACAGAGGTAGAAACAGTAGTCGACCCCCGTCCGGTGACGTTTATTTCCACCGATGCAAAGGAACTAGAGGCTCTCACTCCAGCACACTTTCTGGTGGGACACAAATTGATTAACCTCTCCTCCCATCAAATTCCAGAAGATCAAGCAAGCCCTGAAAACTTGGCGCGAGGTTGGAAATATCAAAACACCATTATAAATCAATTTTGGAGAAGATGGGTATCAGAATATTTGCTAGAACTGAGATCAGCCCACATCGCTAAACAAAACAATTCAAGTTATATACAAACCGGTGACCTGGTCCTTCTCAAGGACAACAGACTACCGCGACATGTGTGGAAAATCTGCAGGGTCAACGAGACATTCCCAGGAAGGGACGGCAAGGTACGGTCTTACAGTATAATTAGACCCAATGATCGTGAACTTTGCCAGCCGATACAGTTATTATATTCCCTGGAATTGTAAGAATGAGCTTTCGCTCATTTCGGGGGAGTTTGTTGAATAATTATTGCAAAAAGAGGTAGAAGTAACAAGATTGAACTATAGACGCCGACAACGAGAACGGAGTGATCGATGGTGACTCCGGCAGAAATTGGAACGAACATGTAAATATTGTACATAAACCCTTCTTTCTGAACGAACTCGCTACATTTAATCCTCTTAACGAAGAAACGTAACAGCCCGTCATGTGCGTAATTCATAAGTGCTCCAGGTGCACGGAACAAGGGGATCAGGCTGCAGGTTCGTTCCTCTCGCATACTCTAATGGCCACTTTGTTTAATATAGTTTTCGAGTGGTTACTGGCATCTCCGTTTCGTTTAAACGCTCAGTTATGATTTTTCCGCTTGAGGTTCACTCGATCGTTCCTGAAAAACCGCAATAAAAATGAACTGAGCCTTCGTGCAATCGACGATTCACTGACACGTGGACCATTTACAAAGTTCTACTTTTTTCATACGACAGCGGCAGAAGCTATAGTTGGAAAAGAGCTTATCGATACAATCACTTGTGAATACGTGTGCGATTTGGCTTTTATTAAAGCGGTTAGTTCGTAAAGCCGCGGCGATGTCATATCATCAGCGGGGCAAAAGGAAAATATTTGTGGTCCTTGGACATACTTGTACGTGATTCATTAGTTTAATCCCTTACATTTATCAGCAATATTATAATGGGATAGTTACATATTTGCAAGTGTAATCGAAAAGTAATTTCCTCGGAGATTAGATCACGGTTCGTTTGTAAATTTTTTGCTATTTTATTAACAAGAAAGCGGGAACGTATAATAAACTAAAAGCAGTCGACCATCATCCCCTTTATTGAAATAAGCAAATTTTAAGGGGAAGGGGGGGATAAAAATACAAATGTGTCATTTCGGCAAAGTTGACCGCAGTCCCGTCAAGATATTAAAAAATAAAATATATGGTCAAAGTTCGGGCAAGTTGATGAAGTGCATTTATATCCGCTTTTCTAGTGCGTCAGCATTAGAACGCTCGTTTTGACGAAAACCCGGTGGTCACTTTCGCTTGTCAGTGCCGGGGAAAGAAGGAGAAGGAGGGGGAGAAAGTGACGCTTGCGACGCTCCCATTGTTCGAAGCGCAGACGTTAGCAGGCGGCAACCTCTCCCTCTCTCCCCCGCGCTGACAAACTGAGAGACACCGCCGGGTTTTCGTCAAAACGACCGTTTTCGTTTTTGTCAAAGGAGCGACGCAGGCGCGGAGCCAGAGAGGAGGAGGCACCGCGGCGCGGTGGAATGCGGTCCTGCTCAGTTGCCGCCCTGCCTTCGCCGGATGTTCTTCGCTCTGGATTTCCGTAGTAGCGGTGCGTGGGCTGCGATGTGTGTGTGTAGTTAAAATGATGGATGTGGTTCCCTCCACGAGTGACATGAATGGGGTTCCTTCCACGAGTGATATGGATGACCGTTTCCAAGGGCGTCTACGTAATCGAAGATAGGCGTCGAAAAAAGACAAGGACAAAAAGAGACGTAAACACTGGCTTCGATCATGAACCAACTGGCCCAAATTGCCATCTTAAGGCATCGACGTACTCTGACAGGCAAAGTACAAAAACGGATTGAAAGAAAATTACAGAGATCCATTGGTGGATCCTCAGGGAATGCGTTAGCATGACCTTTGGGAAACGCCAGACACGTCCTCCTTCGGTAAACGCTAATTCTGACCCCGTAACAAGGCCAAAAAGAGACAGCAAAAACTAGAGGAAGCAAAAAAAAAGAATAAAGCAAATATAAATCAGCAGAAAAGTGAAGGTACCTGATGGCATTACAGCGCTCGGCTCTAAACAAACCGTTGATAGGGCCGTTGCTATGAAGAGATGCATAGGGGCTCGATGTGAGATTGGAAATTGCCAGATAAAAAAGTAAATTTTTTTTAAGCATTGTGACTTCTCAATATATAACCATGAAGGCTTGTTTTATCACCTCAGAACCATAGAGCGATGATAAATGCCCGTAATAAAGTTTCGGAACCGGTTTTGCCTTGCTAGCAGACGACGCAATGGCTTCACGGGCTCACTGTTTCTTTCTGAGGGAGCAGACGACCGTGTTGAATGTGGTTGGTCACGATCAACGAAACTTCTATTCTCACGGTCAACTTTCCGTGGGATTTCGGAAGCGAAGAGTGCCCATGCACAGCGATGATATTTATTTGAGAAGGTGAAAACACTGTGAAGCCTAATAACGTAAGACAAAGACAACGTGAAGTGTATCAAGGTCGAAGTGCAGGCCAGCGCATGTTTCAAGGATTTCTGACAGCACAGTTACTTCAGTGCACATCTGTGTGATGTTTTTTTTTTTCTACTCAGTTTTATACCCACGCCTTCGGCCTCCCGCCACCATGCCCGTTATATATATATATATATATATATATATATATATATATATATATATATAGTCGCAGATGGAAACGGATCGACAAGCGTAAAACAAAAAATAAAGATTTAATTGCCGAACGTCTTCCTAGAAACAAAAGGATGTGTGTCGACGGCGGCAGCAGCGAGCGACGATGCGTCGGTGTGACAGCTGGCTGTGAGTCGAGAAAGCTGCGCTCCGCTCGCTCCAAGAGCTAGGGGCGAAGAGAAGATCGTCGACTGATAAACGACGTGAAGTGGAATCAATAGAAGACAAGAATAACCATGCATCGCCTAAAACAATCTTGTCTGAAAATATGGCAATGGAACTGCAGGGGGATGGGTCGAAAGCAGGTCAGTCTCAGCCTTCGGCTGTCTCATGAAGCCGATCCCCCTGCAGTAATATTTCTGCAGGAACCTGCAAAGAAGCCCGTAAAGATTAAGGGCTATCGGACGGTCGGCGGAACCGAATACTTCACGACCCTCGTCCACAGGACCTTCGCGGCCATGGAGAGGGACCTGGACGGGGGCGGAGTGGATTGTGGGTACGTGGTGATCGTCCCGGTGAAGAAGGGGGACCGGGGTATCCACATAGTGAATCTGTACGGGAACCCCAAGCTTCACAAGGTTGACTACAGAACTCTCCTGGTAAACGCGGTGAGGGTGGCCGGCAAGGAACCTCTCGTCATCGCGGGAGACTTTAATGCCCCACACCCGGGATGGGGATAAAAATACGTCACGCCGAAAGGACGCTAACTTTTCGAAGGAATCAACCAGGAACGCCTCACGCTCCTCACGGAACCTGACCAGCCTTCCACGACAAGGACTAGCACGTGCAGAGATACGTGCGCGGACCTCACGCTGGTGAAGAGCGTGGGGAGCGCCGACTGGAAGAACCTGGCAGAACAACTTGGAAGCGACCACTGCATCCTTGTTTGATGGGGGTTTATTTGCGTGCCTGCAAACAGCCAAGTGGCCTGAGCAGCAGTGCACTGTCCTGTACACAGATACATAAAAGTATAAGATAAAAACACAATCGGGCGAAAATGTCGGTTTCACCAAAAAAGGCATCGTGAGTCTGTTGCAGACTCACGATACTTGAAACGACACTAAGGGAGGCAGAATACAAGAGAAGAACTGGAACCGCAAAGATCACGGACTGGAACAAATGGAGGAAGAAAAGAGAAAAGACAAAAGTGCACCTGGCGGACATTGAGGAGTGGGCTGCGGACGTGACCACCAGCCTGCGCCCTTTTGTCACCGAGGTTGAGCTTTCGGAGAAGACACCGGCTGTGGATGCGAAACTCCTCCACCTCTGGGAGGCCCGGCGTGATCTGACCAAGAGGTGGAAACGTCAGCGACACAACAAGAAGATTCGTACTAAAATCCAAGAACTAACTAAGGTCGCGGAGGACCATGCGGTCGACCTCGCTAGGAACAACTGGTATGGGATTTGTGACTCTATACGTGGTAGCGTCGGTACGGCTCGGTCGTGGCGTCTCCTTAGGGCACTGATATATCCAACTAAGACTAAGTCGGTGACGGACAGTCGAATAGCTGAACTCATCTACGAGTTACCCAGCGATACAGAGCAAATCATGGACCAACTCGCGAGCAGATATTTGTGTCTTGAACGCGCGGAGGAAACTCTATCTAGGACAGCAAAACTCCGAAACGGATAGGCCGGTATCGGTGGCAGAATTCGAGTACGAGCTCGGGGCCATGAAAAAGGGCACCGCGCCGGGGCCCGACACCATCACGGCAAAACTCCTTTATAACTTGGAAGAAGGCGAACTCGAGAAGCTATTTAATCATTTTAACGAGCACTACTGGGTGACGCCAGCTTGCTGGAAAACCGCCGACATTCGCTTTATTCCGAAGCCCAAAAAGAACTTAAATCTAGAAAATCTTAGACCCATCTCGCTTACCTCATATGCGTGGGTAAAGCTTTTGAGAGGGTACTAAACACTATAGGCTCATGAGGTACTTGAAGAAGGAAAAGCTCATGCGCGCCCCATACTCAATTTGAGTTTGGACCTCATACCTCAACACAGGACATCCTCCTGTGGATATACAAAGATCTTTCGGAGAACCCTTCCAGGGGACAAACACGGTGTATTCTCGCTCTCGATTTAAAGGGACTTTTGATAACGTTTCGCAGGCCAGCGTACTCAGAGGGCTGAACGAGATACATATCGCGGACAGCGAACTTTCGAATACGTACGAAGTTTTTTAACGGGCAGGAAGGCTACTCTAACCTTAGAGAGCATGAAATCCAATAGCTTCGAGCTCAGCTCAAAGGGGACGCCGCAAGGGGCTGTTCTATCTCTGCTTCTTTTCAATCTGGCTCTACGGGGTTTGCCGGAGGCGCTGGGGGCGGTTCCCGGTGTGGAACACGCCATCTACGCCGACGACATCACCCTGTGGTGTCGGGAGGGGAACGACGTGGAGATTGAAGAAAGACTACAGGCGGCTGCCAAAATTGTAGAAGACTACGCTGAGGAGTGCGGTCTAAAGTGTGCACCGGAGAAGTCCGAATTGTCTTGAGGAACCCTTATGAACGTGTGTCGGAACAGATTGAAGTTTGGGTGGGCGGGAAGCGG